AATTTAAACACCAACGTAAACATGCAGTATTTATGTAATTTGTGAAATAAGAAATAAAAAAATAAATAAAATAAAAAGCATTTGTAATTATAATTTTTTATATATTTATACACAAATGTAAAAACACGTACAACTTTTATTTGAATTCTTGTTCAAGATAGACGAAACAATTTTCATTAAAATAAAAAGTTATTTTGCATTGAAAAATAAATGATTCCTTATTCGGAAAACTGCCCAACTCTGCTGTTAATGCTTTATTGTATTCTTACCTTTATATTCCTGAGTTCTTTTTTTGATCAATGTCCCTTTATTGATGTCAGTTTGCTTGGATGGAGGTTTTGGAAGAGATACAGTTATTGAATCGTCACTAGAGGTTGACTCATTATTGTCGTCATTAGAGCTTGGATTATTTGTTTTAGCAGCTCTTATTTTTCGTGTTTTTTTTAAATATTCTTCTCGGTCAGAGCCTGTATTTACATCTGATAACTTCTCGGCTAGCTTTAATGTTGTTCGTGCCGTTGCATAGTCGGCTGAAAAATATATCGTAATAAGCATCACCATTTTACGTAACAGTGAACAAAATAAAAATACATATGCTACATATAGAAAATGTCACAAAAAAAATAAAATATATAACGTTTATACTCACGACATGCCATATATACTTTCATAATAGGATGCTCTTCCCAAGTAGAATCAGGTTGTTCCATATCTTTTACTGCCTTGTCATATCTCTTATTAGTTACGTAACAATTGGGCCATTTGGCTCTTTTTAAATCGCTGGTCAACCAAGTCTTGGGTATAATTTGAAGTCCATCCTCGAATTCAACAACATAAAAGTTGTTTTTTTTCTTCTCGGTCATTCTATGTGGAAAGAGCATGGAAAGATGGCTGTCAGATTTAACATTTAACCGTAGGAATGCATCAGAGGAAAAACGGCAAACTTCTCATTTGCGTCTGGCAATTTAACATATTTTTTTACAATGTTTTTAAGTGGCCATGATTTCAAATCAGATAAGGAATGAACTGAATAAACATCAAGTAAGGAAGATGAACAGGGAACATTATACAGATCTTCCTTTTCCAAGAATTCACGACCAATAATGACAGGAACATTCTGTTCTGCGCAGTAAGCCACATTTTCTATGCAGACAATTGCGCCACAACTTAAGCCACAACAGCTATCAGCGAGTGTCCCAGCTTTAAATGTCATTTCGTTGAACTTGATAACTTTATATTGTGGATTGTGAAAATTTGGTATAAGCGGACCATCGTAATGTAACAACAATAAATTACAATGTTTTGAAGCAGAATGTGACAAAGCAGTTGATGTGTGTAAGTTCTTTTCTTTTTCAATGCATCTCCGCACAACTTGTTCCAAAGGTTTTTCCGCTTTTCGTAGGTATTTTTTAAGTATCTGCAGATAGTTTTCAAATTTAAACGCACTGAAGTTCTCGAGAGGTCCAAATCTTTTCACATCATCCACAAGATGACTTAAATTGTGAACATTATGTGAGGCGTTTTTAACTCCATACAGCTTTATAAATGTTTCAATAAAGAAACAAATGAGACGTTGCGCATAGCTTAAGTGTTCATGTAAATCCTCTGAAGACAAGATCCTTATAATGACGTGTAATGTCATAAAATGTATATATGCATTTTTCTTCAATATAGATTTAAATGCTAACGGACCCGTGTACAATAATATTTGTCTGTATTCTGTAGCTTTCCATAATTTTATACAATCCAATCTTCGTGGTTTTCTTGCAAACTCTACAGGTATTGATGGCTTTAAATGAGTAATTAAACGTGTGGAAATTTCGTCCGCGGCTCTCTGTGGTAGTCGATATTGTAGTTCTCCATAAAGCCATAAGTTCAATAATTTGCGCATCAATCCCAAAAAAATCAAGTGCATGGGGTCCAACGGAACATTTTTTACAGGTTTGAAATAAGGAATATTTAACAGACTACACGTTGTATTTGGTTTGTGATAACTATCGTCTACCTTTTGTATAAAGTCATCATCTGATCTAAGTGGTGCGTCAATTTGTGGGAAACATATCCGATTTCCTACATATTGTCCTTGCGTAGTACACTTTGTGCAACTAGAATATCCACAATGTCCTTTGACACATAAAACGAATGATTTAGCTGGCGCATCACAAATTAAAGCTTCAATCCGACATGCTATCTGTCGACCGTTGATGTTAATTCCATTGCCGCATATTTCTGTAGCCTCATTGACAAAATCTTTTAAGAAATCATTGATATCCTCCGGTTTTTCATAGCCATGATACAGCCCAATCATAAAAACGTTGTTATACGGAATAACTGATCCAAGTATAGGCCAAAACTGTTGTTGCGATGATTTTGTTAAAGGCAATCCATCAATGTTTATAGCTATTTTTAAGCAATCAATATTCTCTTTTACAGAAGATAATATTTGTCTTATTGGTTCCACTAAACCAAAATGATAATATGATCCTGGTACAACTACACGGATGTGTTGTTGTCTTGGCGTTTTTAAAAGTGTTCGTGCATCCGAAGAGAGTGTGGAAAAACAAGGATGTTTCTTCAACGTTAGTAGCAATGCTTTGAGAGCGGTATGTGTAATGTTATGTTTTATAGCCCAGACTGCAAGATTGTCTTGAAAATCGCTATCACTTTCATTTTCAAATGACAGATCGCTTAATTCATCGCAAGAAACGTTTAAAGATAATTGTTGTGAATCCGACTCTGATTGTCTGTTTGCATTTTCATATTGTACAAATATGTTTGCATTTTCCTGTTGTACAAAACTGACATTATTTTCACATTCTAGATCATTGTCAGTATCTATTATTGTAGAATTAATTCTGTCATTGTTCAAATCTGTTGTGAATTTACTATTATCACACGACAATGAAGTTCTATCAAACAAATTGTGACAAATAATATCTGCCTCCTGTGCAGCTATTCTTGTAAGGTGTCGCTTTGATACATACAAGATATCTTTTCTTTGACGTTTTTTATTCATTTCCATGTCAAGTGTTATATCTGTACAATATGAAAAAATTTATGATTGCAGACAAAATAGTGTATTCCTACTTGTAATATTATATATTATTTACAAGGTAAGCCAGTAATAGTGGGGTACAAGCAGAAAGGTGTAATAATTCTTTATGAAAAAATAATTTATAAATGTATATTAGGGTGTGTCATTTTGGAGCAACCTTTTTTTTTACTTCACAAATAGCATATATACTTGCAAGAAGGTAAAATAAGATACCTGTTAAAGTTTCATCCTTTAATATTAATATTAACAGGTCGCTCATCGCGATTTTTTATTTTTCATTTAGTAAGATAGAAAAAATTTTATAACTATCTAACAAACAGTAATACAGCATTGCTCCACAAGAGATTTTTGTAGTAAATTTACCGCTCTACAAAAAAGATCTCTTATCATTTTTTTTATAAATTCAACCGTTCAAAAGATATTCAAAGTGAAAGTTTGATAAATTTTATAAAACTTGTTTTTGCTTCTTATGAATTTTGTATCATATCGACTATCAAAAATTATGAAATAATCAATACATATTTTTGTAGAAAATTTAACGATCTACAAAAAAGGTCTCTTATATTTTTTTCATAAATATAACCATTTAGACGATATTAAGGCTAAAACTTTAACAGGTATCTTATTTTACCTTCCTGCAAGTATATATGCTATTCGTGAAATAAAAAAAAAAGTTGCTCCAAAATGACACACCCTAATGTATATACAAATAAATTTTTTTGCAAGATGTTTTGTTTCAGAGAATATGTAGTTGCAAAATTAATATAATTTTACATGAACCTACAATTAATATACCTTGTAAACTATTCATTTTTTGATAATCATGTCTTAATACTTTTACGCACTGCATTGTGAAATGAATCAATTTATGTAAAAAAAAACAAGGGTTGGGGTCAGTTTTTTCTTAAGTTAAACTTAATGACTATAAAAATAAGTAAGTTATGTTAAGTTATATAAAAAATAAACGTAGTAAAAAGTTAAGTTACAGTTAAAGTAAAATAAGACAATTTTAAAAACCATTATATATAATAAAATTATAATAGTATAAATATTTATAATAAACTTAACTTTGAGTAGTTCCAATTCAAAATGTGTGATTATCAACATGATTATCAAAAAATGATTAGTTTACGAGGTATATTAATTGTAGGTTCATGTAAAATTATAATAATTTTGCAACTACATATTCTCTGAAACAAAACATCTTGCAAAAAAATTTATTTGTATATACATTACCAAATATTAAAAAATATCACGTAAATTATACCAACTCAAGTACTAGTAGCTTTAAATATTCTTAACAAAATTATTACATCACAAAAATATTTATATTGCATTACCTATAACTCAACCCAAGTAATATGTATTCCTTTTCATATAAAAAAAACATTTTTCAGTTTGGAAAAAAGTTGAAAAAATTTAAAATTTATGTGTTCAATAAAGCTTACCTGTCATGTAAATCTTGTCAAGCGTAGAATATTGAACAGCAGTAGGTAGGAAACCCAGCCAGTAGCTGATCAAAAATAGCAATTTGGAACTTAGTAGAGTTGACTTCATTCAACAAAGGCACCGTCAAAATACAGTTGAGAAACTTGGAACTTGCGATTCTGAGGAATAAAAACAGTTTTATGTATTGTTATTTTTATAAGACAGAGAATTACAGATATGTTATAAAACAGATGATTGATCCTTTATTCATTTCATATTAAAAAAATGCTATAGATGTAAATTGTTTGTACAATTACAAGTATAAGAAATTAAATTGAAATGTTTAAAAAATATATCTATAATTAATTTTTATTTGTCAAAAAATGCAGGCAATGACAAACAGGAAAAAAATTTTGTTAAATAATTCGTGAAATTGTTATGCTGACAATTTAGAAGTTACCGTAGGTTGCGAAATTAACTGATGTATATCACATAAGATATTTAATGCTAAAACGTTTTAATTATTATATAAGTCCAGT